GGGGGGGGGGGGGGGGGGGGAATAAATAAATAAAAATTACTTGTGAAACTTCAGCTCCTAGTTATATTAGGATTATACTACTTGTACACAGAAATGGTATATAAGGGGTTACGTAAAATGATGTCAAGGGAAAAGATTGGATGAAAAAGTTGATTGCGTTTTAAACTGACAAGTGATAAAGTGACGTGACATTATGTAACAAATTATATAAAGATTGATGTACATGGAGCAAGGTCCATTATATTAAAGGAAAGAGCAGTCAAAAACATCAAGAAATTTCCTTTATCATCTAAATTATGAGCAACCTAACAAAAATAACCTTTTTCTTTAATGACAAAGAAGGAATTTTTCAAAAGTCATAATATAAAGCCAAGCTTCATATGTTATGAACTATTCAATACAAATTAAATTCCGACTTACCAGCAGATATAATGAGTGCCTGGGCCGTATAATTGAGATTTGCCTTTGCCCAAGGTACCGTTCGACAAACAATCAACTGAAAATTTAGGCAGGGGAATTTATTAATTCTATAATGCAAAGGAAAGGCAAGTAGCATTAGTTGACCATACTCCCAAAAACATAAAAGAAAACAAAAATCAAAATAGATCCCAGCACAAAATGTAAAAAGGAGGATCCAGTTTACTTGATTGCTTGACGAGGTTTTACAAGGAAACAAACATGACTAAATCATCACGAACAAGGGCTTTGTTCACTACAATCAAAGCATACATATCTTGTACATTTCATCTGTTTAGCGTGTTTGGCCTAGCTTAAGTAGTTTCATTATAAGTAAATAAGTTAAAAAAACTAGCTCTTTTCAGAGGTCCAAGTTGAAAATAAGCAAATTTTCTTACTTAAAAGTAAGAAACTGATAAATTATCCTGGACGCTTGGATACAAAAAATTACTTAAAAATAAGTTTCACTGTTTATTAAGCTTCGCAAACATGCTCTCTAGGCAGTGAATGTTGCGGCATTCACTTAGCGTCCTGAAGTCTCTCTGCCAATAAAATTTCTCTAGATTAATGTTCAAGAATTTAGAAAATATTGCCCTGTTATTGTAAAGATTTGTTCAGAAGTATTATTCCTAATTAAAACCATTAAACCAGAAATAAGGAATGTGGAGCATTTGCACAGAAACACAGACTTGTTTAACATACAGTCCAAGCAACTCCATCATCACACTTAAGGATCATATTGATAAATCATCCAATTTTCCCAACTCTGATGCATCTAGAAAATACTTTGTAAGCTAGGCCGACACAAGTGCATGTGCATGTGTATCTGTACGTTGTAATGCTGTAAGCAGAAACCGTATAAGCCAGTACTGTGGTCTTTGAGATAGGCCTTGTTGGTTAATTCTATTTTAGAATCAGCAGTGGTTGACAAGAGCATGTTTTGGTAAACTTATAGAAAAGCAAAAGTTACTTTTAGTTTCCAAATATGTTTCCTATGCTACTTTTTTCTCAGTTTTAAGTTAAATAAAAACAGGTAACTTGTTTGTAAGTAAATTAGTTTTCCTATAAAAATAACTTTTATTTTTTTATCTTTAATTACTCAAAAACATTATTTACTCTTAGTACAACTGACTGTACGACACATCATTCGAGATTCAGTATATGCAAAACACAATTTGAATTAAGACTACGATTGTCATCTCGTCTCATGCTTATAGGACATTCTAGTTTTCCGTCTGTTCTCATTTGTATATAGCAAAAAGTTAATAGATTAAAGAATCCAAACACCAGTCATAAAAATAGCACGATCAGAATATGCATCTAAAAATCTAGTACCATAACTCCAGAAACTAAATACAATTAAACATTTTAAAAAAAATTAAGTTTTCGAGTAAAATGAAGTGAAATCTCATACAGTAGGCACTGTGCTGGAAACGCTTGCAATTGCAGCAGCTTTTGCTCCGGCACGCACTCCTTCTGCAACCCAAACAAGTTCAAACTACATTCTAGGATTATTCCATTCTATAATTTCAGTCTAAACCAAATAGATTTTCAAAAATAAATCCCTTTCAGAAATTTAACAATACAGGATGTGATCTTTAGCTCTGTTCAAATAGTACATAACACAAATATATTACACGCAAAGGAAATGCAGGCAAAAAGAAAAATAGACAAATTTAATTATAGCGCCAAAAATATGCGGATTTTTCTGAAAGAACTGTAAAAGGCTAATTCAACCTCGGCCATTCCAAACTTTTTATTTAATCGCTGAGAAAATGAATGCAAATAAACGAAAAGAAAAGGTAGTTAAAAAAGTGAAGCCCTATTTTACCCAATGAAAGACCGTGCAATGTATCAATGAAATTGAAATAAATCATTCGTAATTTTAATCAAGTTTCAAAAGAACCCATATGAGAAATGCTATAGAAATTGTAAAACGAGAGAGAAAACCCAATTTTATCGAATCAAACCACCGTGCAATACATATTAAGTAGAAAGGAAATCGTTTTATTTTTTTATTATTATTTTTTTCATTTTAATCAATTCTCTCAAGATACAATAAAAATAAAAATCACAAACACATTAAGAAGTCTCGGAAATTTGTGAAACCTTGAGTGCATTGCCTGGACCGGAGAATTTTCTCATCTTCAACTGGGGATGGGATCAACAGAGATTTCTTGCGGTTTGCCCACGTTTCCCTCATTTCTGACGGAATTCCCATTTTTCACCGATTAGATTATACAATTCTTTTATTGTTTCTTGGTATACATGTATAATTTGTAAGCCTTCTCGTGGTTGAATTGATTGGAAATCAAAGTTCAAATTGAGTTTTTGTTGCCAAAAGCGACGAGGCGCAGCCGCTTAGTTCGAAGAACGGTTCAACACGTAGGATCGCATGCGTTTATCTAAGCTGAGATCCGCCGTCCATTTTTGTTGGAGTAACGTTTTTTATCATCGGGGTAATGAAATTTCGATATGGCGATCCATTATACCTTACATTTGTCTCTCTCTCCTCCCGCTACGTCTCATAAAAATTGGACTTATCAATCCCAATATTTCACATAAAACGTTATATCTGTTGTAAAGTAATGAGATAATTATTGATAATTATTTAATATTATCATGATAGAAGATCTATTTTATTCTAAATGTAACTCTTATTTTAGACCATATAAATATAAGACATTTCTTCATAATAATACACAATTGAGTTTTAACTTTTTATTTTTTCTTTTATTTTCTCTTTTTCTTTCAATTTTATAACACGTTATCAGCACGATTCTCTTAAAGTCAAAGCAAATTAGTTAGAAAGTAATATTTTTTCAGAAATATAGCCCTTGTTTGAGCCCCATTTTTGGGAAGAAAATGAATTTTTGAATAGTGTATTGATGGAAAATGTGTTGTTAAAAAATAAGGAAATTTTTTTTATTTGCATATAATATTATTTTGTTGAAAAATGTGTTGTTGAAATGATGTCAAATCACTGTTAAAAAATGTATGTTGGTTGAAAAATGGGGTCCAAACGAGGACATAATCACGTGTACCAAAATTAATTTGGCAACATGTGAATTCTATCTATACGTATGCATTAATTCAACTTCGTCCAGTTCACGTCCCATTTTTTTCATGGTACCAATTAAAATTTGGAGGTTGCTTCATTCACTACAATTCATCAATTTCTACCTTTTGATTTTACATTTTTATTATGTGGCAATCAATTTCATGAAGTAGCATTCATTAGATGCTTATGAATTCATTTTTAATCCATGGTTTTATGCGACACTATTGCATGTTTTCAATTCTTGAATTTGAATTCGTGTCAATTTAGATCAATTTGAGGCGAAAAAAGAAAAAATAAATTTGTACACGATGTTTTAATTCAGGAATACGTGTAGTATTAGATGTATTAATTTATGTAATTCTTTCTTTAATTTTTTTATGGATGAAAAATATATGTTTATGGTAAAGAATAACTATAAAGCATATCTTTTCAAGATTTTTTTAATACATGTTTGGTAATTAATTTTAAAATATAAATTCATATCCAATTTATTTGGTAACTATTTTTTATTTGCGTGGTAATTAATATTCTTTAACTTGATTATATATTTGTGTTGTTCTATCATAAATTTTAACTCAATATTTTATCATATTGTTACTCCTGAGGTAGCATAACATTATAATTAATATTCTAGAAGAATATTAATCGAAGATTTATCTATTGTAAATAATTTGTTGATATTCATGAAATAGCACAATATTATAATTATATTTTCGAAGAATATTACCGGCTCCTGAAGAGCATAAATTATATTTTTTAATATTCTAAAAGAATATTGACGTATTGATCTTGACGAAATAATAATAAAATACAAGTGCTCCTGAAGTAGCATATATTTTGAAGAAAATATTATTTTAGTGTTTATCTCAGAATGAAAACACGTAACTTATGTTATTAATTACTTGATTAATCATTATATGATGTTTAATCACATTCTTCAAAACCAATTGTATTTTTTTTATTGCGTAGTTAATCAAATGGCAAACATCATGAAACTCGAGTTTGCTGCACTTTATATATTTGACAAAAATTATCTATCATGGGTACTCGATACTGATATCCATCTTGTCTAAAAATGTTTGGGAGAGACAATAAAAGAAGGAAACAAAGAATCCTTGCAGGATCATGCAAATGCACTCATCTTCCTTCGTCATCATTTTCACGATGGGCTGAAAATTGAATATCTCACTGAAAAGGATCCACAAGTTCTTTGAAAAAAATTAACTAAAAGATTTGATCATCAGAGCACTATAGTCATTCTCAAAGCCTACTATGTGTAGATGCACCTTCGTTTGCAAGACTTCAAAACTGTAAGTTAGTACAATTCAGAATATGTTCAAAATTGACATTGTGTAGAGAAAAAAATCACCGATGAAGACATTTTGGAGAAATTTTTTTCCACCTTTCACGCCTTGAATGTGCTCCTGCAGCAGCAATATCTCGAGCGTGGTTTTAATAAGTATTCAAAACTTATATCTTGCCTGCTTGTTGCTTAACAGAATAATGAACCGCTAATGAAAAATCATGGGTTGCGTCCAATTGGTTCATTCTGTACCATTGCCTGAAGCAAATGGTACTGTATTGCTTAAAACAAATGCAATATCAAGACGCGAATGTGCACGTAAAGTAAACCATGGACGAAATAATCAACAAAGTTATCAACAACAAGACAACAATTTCAAAAGGCACAAAATAAACGGAAGTAGCACACCTAAAATGATACATAAAGAAGGTTGATTTAGATGTGGAATGAAAGGGTATTGGATATGTACTTGTCGTACGGCAAAACACCTTGTAAATTTCTATCAAAAATCAATCCAGGGAAAGGAAAAAGTGGAGACAAATTTTGCTGACTATGATGATCCAATTGATGTGACTTATTTGGATGTCTCCGATTTTTTTGCTGATCCAAATGTGAATATTGACCATTTGATTGGGGTGGTGTGATGGAAGATAAAAATTAGTTTTTTTATGTTTCTAGTATTTCCCTTTATTTTAGAAATTTAATTTGAAATATATTTTTATTTTTCGCAAAAAATTTGAACTTTATTATGCATCGTTAATTTCACAGTATTCATTATCTTATCATTTTATATTTAAATTCAAGTTTTTTTTAAATATATCTATTTTGTCATATTGATAGATTCATGATGGATTGTTAAGATACCTGCTTGATTGATAGTGCAACTACACATACTATTATTCAAGACAAAAAATATTTCTTGGAGTTAACATTAAAGGAAAATAATGTCAATACAATATCAAGTGCATCGAATATCGTTGAAGGCTTCGAAAGAGCTTGTATTATTTTATCAAATAATACAAAATTATATATTAACGATGCACTTTATTCTAGCAAATTCAGAAGAAATTTGCTTAGTTTTAAAGATATCCGCTGCAATGGATATCATATTAAGACGATGCAAGAAAATAATACTGAATATCTTTCCATAATCTCTTTTGTATCTGATCAGAAGCAAATAAAAGAAAAAATTTATACACTTTCATCTGGCATGTATTATACATTTACAAAAATGGTTGAATAAAATAATGTTACGAACCAGAAGTTCATTGACCCAAAAAAATTTATTCTTTGACATGATCAACTTGAACATTCAGGAGCTATAATGATGCGTTGAATAACAAACAATTTACATGGACATTCTTTAAAGAACCAGAAGATTCTTTTACCTAATAACTATCCATGTGTAGCTTGTTCACAAGGCAATTTAGTCATTAGATTTTCAACTACAAAGGTCAATACTGAATCTCCAACTTTCGTAAAAAGAATTCATGAAAATATATGTGGGCCAATACACCCACCATATGAACAATTTCGTTATTTTATGATATTAATTTATTCTTCTATTAAATGGTCACATGTTTGTCTACTTTCCACTAAGAATGTGGCATTTGCTAGATTACTTACTCAAATTATAAAATTACGAGCGCAATTCCTCCATTACTCAATTAAAACTATTCGTCTTGACAATGTTGGTGAATTTAGATCACGAGCATTCGATAATTATTGTATGTCAATCGGGATTGTAATTGAACATTCAGTTGCGCATGTCCATATACAAAATGGTTTGACAGAGTCGTTTATTAAACGCCTACAACTTATTGCTAGACAATTACTTATGAAAATAAAACTCCCAACTTCTGTTTGAGATCATGCCATATTACATGCTACATCATTGGTTCGTATTAGACCAACTGTCTATTATCAATATTCACCTTTGCAACTAGCATTTGGTTATGAACCTGATATTTCTCACCTACGAGCCTTTGGTTGTGTTGGCCAAGTCCCTATTTCACCCCCACAACGTACTAAAATGGGTCCCCAATGATGACTCTAGATTTATGTGAGTTTTGATTTACCATCGATTATTAGGTATCTTGAGTCTATAATGAGTGACTTATTTACTGCACGTTTTGCAGATTGTCATTTTAATGAAATGACTTTCCCAACTTTGGGAGGGAAAAAATTACATCCTGAAAAACAAGGTAATATTACTTGGAATGAAGCAACTCTATCTCATTTTGATTCCCGCAGCAATCAATGTGAGCAAGAGGTTGAAAAAATAATTCATTTGCAAAGAGTTGCAAATCAATTACTTGATATATTTGTTGACAAGAAAATTGACAAAGTCATATGTTCCAATAGAAAATATTCTAGCAAAAATTGATGTCCATTTACGACAATCTGTTGTAGAAAATGAATCTCAAATACGTCAGAAGCGTGGTCAACCAGTTGGTTCAAAAGACTTTGTACCTTGAAAAAGAAAAGTACATGAGAAAAATCGACCAAAAACTTCGGAAGAAATCACATTAGAAAAGATTAATCAATCAGATATTGAAAATACGGTTCCTGAAGAACGACAAGTGTCCAAAAATAATTAGATTTTAATAAATTATATGTTATCTCATAAATTATGGGAACAAAATAATGTTGTTATAGATAATATTTTCGCCTTTAATGTGACTTTTGATATTATGTAAATGAGGATTCTGAACCACAATCGGTTAAAAACTGTTAAAATAGAAAGATTGGCCAAAATAGAAAGAAGCTATATAGGGGAAATTGAATTCTTTGGAGAAATGAAAATTTTTTGGACCGATAGTTCGAAAATTTGAAAATGTAATCCCTGTTGGATACAAATGAATTTTTGTACGAAAGAGAAATGAAAATAATGAAATTACAAGGTACAAAACCCGACTAGTAGCTCAAGGTTTCTCATAAAACCAGTAATTGACTATAAAGAAATATATTCTCCCGTAATAGACACCATCACTTTTAGATTTTTAATTAGTTTGACTGTATCACAAAAGTATGATATGCGCCTTATGAATGTAGTAACTGCATATTTGTATGGTTCACTTGATAATAACATATATATATATATATATATATA